TGGTATGAACAGAGGAGTGGGATTAATTGAACTCTATGAAATGCATATTTAAAAAGGATAAGAACAAAATGGTTTTAAGCAGTCACAGCACTGAACCTATGTCAACTGAGACAGAACTGCTGGTGCAGTGGGAGAACCCACAGCACGGAGGGCGCAGAGCACATGGGCCTGTCTTGTGAACGGTGGTTCCTAACAGGGCCACTTCCCCAGGGGGACGTTTTCAGTTTCATGTCCGCAGGAGGGAACTGTGGCATCTCATGGGTGGGGCCGGGAGGCTATCACGCGTCTGATGACACAGGGCAGCCTGCTGCAGCACAGTATCATCTGGCTGAAAACATCACAGTGCGGAGACGAAGAAAGCCTGTGCAGCACAACCAGAGGTGGATGGTACATACTGCAGAGGGGCCCAGGCAAGCAGCGGATCTGTCCTGCCAATCTCATGACCCGCGTGGCGGTGTGTCTGTCCTGTGCCATCTGATGGCCTGCAGGACCAGCCACAGGTCACTTGTGCTGCACACTCTCTCCATGGTCAAGGTGCTCCTCGTCACGACCCTGGTGCCTGTGCTCTGTGTTCCTGGGTTCTTGGTCTACTTGCTGAAGACTACTGTCCACCACTGTCCTTCCAGTCAGGCTTCCCAGTGATTCCATGAGCTTAACAAAATCAGATCACGACTAGAGTCAGAGGGGACCACAGTCCTTCTCCACTCTGATATTCCGTTGGTTCACACAGAGAAGAGTGTTTATGTCTCCTGGGTCGACAATGGTTTGGTTCTCAAAATCATTCTAAGTTTAAAAACCACTGAATAAATTAGGTGTATATACATGGTATAGATATTATGTACTGGAAAAACAAAAACCTTTAATTACTATACCTCTAAAATTATCAGTTTTTTTGACAAAGTTCAAATAGTTCAGCAGGGCTATGAGGTTGTAGCCCAGGAGCAGGGCACTTGCCTAGCACGTCAAAGGCCCTGGGTTCAGTTCCCAGCACCACGCAGGCATCACACACACACACACACACACACACACACATACACATGCACACACACACACACACGCACGCACACATACAGTTTACCAGTGTGACTTCAGCTGTTACCCTCTAGCCTTTCCATTCCTTCAATTTCTTGGAGCATTCAAATATCAAGCCTCTACCAATAGTTTTGTCCACTCATGACCAACACTCGTTTCCCTTGTGTTTGACATAAAACTAGATGTGCTTACTGTGGAGAAAATTCTACTACACATCATTTCCAGTACTGTATCATTTCCAGGGACCTGTGTATGTAACGAAAAGTGGGTTGCCTTGGAGCCAAAGACCCTCTATAACTATGGGCAAGTTATTGAAAATCCACAGACCTTACTCTCCTCATTTATAACACAGTTATTAACAAGTTAAAACAAGAATTTAAATGAGATAAAATAGGTACCACATAATTCTTTTCCCTTTTTCAATTCCTGAACTAAGTCCCATCAATATTAAAGTATGAACAGGGAATTCTTCATCTTCTAGGCCAAGTCAAGATAAAGTGAATAAGAAAGTGCCCAGCTGTTTCCGCAGTCTTCCTGTGGTGCTGACCAGTCTAAATCCCATACCAGCCAAACAGGATCTCTCCTCAACATTCATTGTGTGAAATATGTACTTTGTGCTGACTAGAGGTTTCCAAGGGCTCTAATCTGGTTGATTTTTATTTGAACATATTTTATCTCTATAGATCAACTACAAATTCCTTGAAGTTAGGAACTTACTTCCCCTACTTTCTGCCTCTTTCTTTTCTTCCTTCCATCCTGAACCTTGCTTCATATAGTGTCTATTGTGAATGCTGGTGGTGGTCGTGGGGACAATAAGTATTTTTGAGGAGTTGAATATTTGTGCTACTAGTTTCAGTCTCCATTTTTATGTATATGCTAAATTCCAAATACTTAAAATATAAATGAATGTGTTTTAATATCCCCAGTATGACCAGATTTAGTGATTCACAAACTTCAACTTTCTAACTATTACCACATTGAATTCTTTCATGACCTCAGAAGGCATTAAAAAAACACAACAAAGTTTGGAAATGCCGGGCTGGCGATGTGGCTCAAGTGGTAGCGCGCTCGCCTGGCCTGCGTACGGCCTGGGTCAGCACCACATACAAATAAAGATGTTGTGTCCACCAAAAAATTAAAAAATAAATATTAAAATTCTCTCTCTCTCTCTCAAAAAAAAAAAAAAAAGTTTGGAAATGCCCATCAGTGAACTTCCTGTCAATACCTATTTATACAGCTTTGAATTTAAAATAAACAAATCACATGCAATATGTAAAGCTCTAAAAAATTGTTGAAAAAACAATTCAGTATCTGCTACTATATTAAATTTATATTGAAATGGTTGCTTTTGTTGCTTCTTTCCAAGCACTAATCCAGTCCTAACAAAAGTCTTTAGCAAGGAAAAATGTCACACTGAGCAAACCAAGAAGGCTGTGGCTGAAGGCTGAGAAGTATAAATACATAAGGATGTCATTTGGTGGAAGGTAGGATTCTCCAGCATTCCCCTTACTTTCGTTTTATATAGCTCTGGTCAATTTCACAGCCTCAGCTGATACGGAACAGGGAAATTGAAAACCGCAGAACTGATTTGCAGAAGTGAGGTTCTATTTTCTTAGACACTGCCTTCATCAGAGCCACCATCATTCTTGTGTGGTGTGATAGTATTATCAACAGTAGCCCAGGCACAGTTATAATTGCTAAAAAGTTGTTATCTTCAGATGGAAACAGAAAAAGAAACAGGACAACTGTGCCATTTTCTCATGTTTTAAATCTGCTCTTTTCATGGTCCTTCATCTTTGCTGCGATTTAAACGTAAAGACTTCTTAAAACTAAATATATATGACTTCTTTTCTGGCAACCAACCATGATTATAGCAATTCTCTTTGCACTTAGCTCCTTGGTAAGAAACATTATAATAATAAAATTCTAAATGTCTAATTTGAAATAAATATACGTCCTTCAGATATTCTGGTTTGATTTTTCAATTTTTACCCTTAGTAGAATTTACTTTAAACTCTAACTACATGAGAAAATTCCTTCAGAGAAAAATCTAGTACTTACTACTCATTTCTGTTGCTGCTGCTGTTCCAGATTGACAGTCGGTTTATAGGTTCTTATTAAAATTGAAATTAGAGCTGCCTTATTATAAAACAAAGCTGTAGCCTCTGGCTATTTAGTATCAACCCTGAAACAGAATCTCATTTATATTCTTGAAGATCACTGAGAATGAAGAGGACTGTCGCCTCAATTTTGATATTTTCTTATTCTGTTTTTAAAGTGCATCTTAATGATAATGAAATCTTTGCTATGCAATGCCATCTGCCCAGTAAAATAAAATATAATTGTAACTTTCTAGTTATAAATTGCTATTTTTTTGTTTACATTTAGAAATCTTTATGGGTCAAACAATCAGAAATCTTTCTTTTAATAAACTATTGCCAAACCTATGGGTTAATTAGTTGAGAATTCTCTCAGGATTCAGTAGAAATTCCCCTCTTCTTAAAGGTCTGAAAAGACCAATAAGTTTAACTTCAAATTAACAACAAATAATATTTCAATTAGATATGTCTCTAATAATGAATGTCCTGCACATTTATTTGCTAAATCTGAGAGGCCTGATAATTTATGCCATTTTTCTTAATACCATCAATATTGTGAGCAAAACCACTATTTTAATAAATTGAACTCATAGAAAATGGGCATTTAAAGTTACCAATCAAAAACTAAATGAAATTCATCCACGCAGAACTGTGCACTAAGGATTTTCATACAATCTTAAGTGCCTAGGGGAAACACCACTTCCTTCCTGTTCATTTGCATGGGAACTTGCAACTTTCCATTTCTAGTGGACAGAAATCAATTGTTTTTCGTCTTTCTCTATTTCTCAATCACAATCTAAATCCCAATATCCTTTATTAAGTAGATTTCCCTCTCTAATAAAATTCTTTCCCATTCACTGATAACTCACCCTTACATTCAAAAGTCTAGCATTACCCATGCTAGTTCATTTGTGCTTTACTTTTTTTCTTTTTAATAGTATCAATAAGGTGGCAGACACCTGTTAGATGCCAGAAACACAGGATGAGTAAATAGAAACACGTAAACAATAAAATTTATCCTTTCTTGTAGACACACCCATCTCTCCACCTGCTCCCGAGCTGGCCAATAAGAACCCCGGCGTGCCTTCGCACAGCCTCGGTACAGCCTCTGCGCTCCACCTCCGCGCGAGCCAGCCAATAGGAACCCGGTCCTGGCCCCGCCGAATCTCAGAGCTCCACCCTCAATCAAACCGGCCAATAGAAATCCCGGCGTGGGCTCGCTCAGCCCTTCGCTCCACCTGCGCCCCAGCCGGCCAATAGGAACCCCGGCCTGGTCCCCGCCTGACCGACCACGCGGGAGCGAGACCATGAAACTACATTTCCCGGCGCGCACGTTCACACATTGTGGCCAATCAGTGCCAGTAGTTCGTGAGGTGGGGGCGGAGCCAGGCTAATAGGCAACCCCATTGGCCCGGAGAGCTTAGAAGAGCCGGAACCCGGGAGCGAGAGAAGCGAAATGACATTTCCTCTTTAAAGAGCTGGAGCCGGGCCCAGCGCGCCATGGCCGCGTGCGCAGGTGGGCACCGCGGGGGCGCAGGACGGAGGGCGTGCGTAGGTGGTCGCGGCTGGTGACTGGGCGGGCCTGAGGCGGGGGAGGGCGTCGGGGACCCACCAGCCGGGGAGCCTCTCGTGTAGCGCTGCAGCGCGGAGCCGGCTCTGCGACCGGTCGCAGACCTCGCCGGTGCCGCCGCGCGTCCCGTGGCGGGCGCGGGCGCGGTTTGGCGGAGGCCTTCGCCGTCTGGCCGCAGGCCGGCCTGGCGGGCCTGCGGACCGGCGTGCGTCGGGCAGGGCTCGGTGCCGAGCCGGGAGAACTTGCGTGGTTATACGGCCAGTTTTCCTCCCCTAGATTTAAGTAAGTCCCCGACGCCGAATGGGACTCCGTCTGCGGACGCAGCGAGCGACGCCGTGGACCCCTCCCACGCGTGCAGTGTCCTCAAGCAGCTCAGAGCCATGTACGAGGAGGCACAGCTGACGGACATCGTAGTGGAAGTGGACCATGGGAAGACCTTCTCCTGCCACAGGAACGTCCTCGCTGCCATCAGCCCCTACTTCAGGTATGAGGGCGCCGGACTCCTGCTGGTGTCCGCACCGACCCCGCGGTGAGATGATGATGACGATTATCACGAGAGGGGACACGCGGGTCTCGTCCCTACAGGGCCCTGCGGCTCGCTTCAGGGATTCCTCCAGCGCTCAGGTGGCTGTTTTAAAGTTGGTGGTTTGACATTAACGACCAGGAAATCTAGATTTGTGCTACTCAATATGGCAGCCACTAGCGACATGTCGCCGTTTGGACAAATCATTTAAAATTAAACCAGCTCCTCAAGTACACTAAACACAATTTAAGTGCTTAGTAGCCACTTGTAGTGCTACTTAGTAGCTGCCGAATTGGGCAGCACAGATAAACAGCATTTGCATCGTTAAAAGTTTTCAGGGTGACTGGGGCAGTAGCTCAGTGGCAGACCTCTTGCCTAGCACGTGGGAGGCACTGGGTTGGAGCCTCAGCACTACATAAACATACGTACATAAATTAATTAATAGATAAATAAACGCATGCTGTCCATCTACAACTACAAAAAATTTTTTTATTAAGCAGTGCTGCTTTAGAATCTGTTCCAAAAAATAAATCATGATGCATTTTTTTTTTTTTTTTTAGTCTGTGTATCTCTTTTGGAGTTTAAAAATCATAGAAACTTGTCCTTCACAAACAAATGACAAATGACCATTCAGTACATTGTCTTAAAACCATGGGGGTAAAAGCAGTAGAATAAAAATGAATATAGTTTGTGTGTGTTATAGACACCAAACTAATGATTATTTCCAAGAGTTTAGAAGCATTTTTATCACTTTAATTTAGGTTGGTTTATCATAAAATGTTGAAAAGTAAACATTTAAAACTTGGGTTTGAAAAATTGCTTCCTACTCTTAAAAGGAGATTCATGGAAAAGGTAGTTTCCTCCCTATGGGTAACTTCTTTTGTGTCAGGTGCCCACATGCCCTTCAGTATTCAAAAGTGGTGCATGGATGACAGTAAAATCATCATGTCAAGCACACATTTTTAGTGTTCTTTTTCTGCTTACCTTTATAGGGCACACAGTATTGTAATGTTCCAGATTACTTTCTGGTTCCTCTTTCTCAGAATGCTTGGTTAAAAATAGTTACCTGGGTCTGATGCTTGTGATATAATCATTTAGACTTGCCTTGGGTAGGTGATTGGACTACTGAGTATTAATTACCACAAGACAGTTGGAAGGAAAAAGATGAAACTCACATAAGTGAAGTTTGGCTTGGCAATGGAAATTCCTGGTGAGATTGACTTGTCCACACTATTGAATAGATATGTGTTTAAACACGTGGCACTGTTGCTCCTTATCAAGCTCCAAACTAAGCATACTTTACATGTGTTACTTTACATCATCTTTATAATCCTCATTTCAGTGCAGTTGTTATTCCCATTTTACATGTGAAGAAACTGAGGATCATAGAGTGATGCCTACATCATCTGACTACTAAATAGCAGAGACTAGAATTGACTCCAGAGTCAGGCTGTTTACTTATTTCATGACTCTTAAGGAAGGAAACTGGATAAAGTCCTCTTCAAAATATTCTTTCAAAAATTTTAATTACATTTTAAATTTGAATGGTAAAGTAAATAAATGAAACTCCAAAGGGAAAATGTCTATTTTATGAAATTTTATGCTCTAGATTATATTTTTAAGTGTCAGATTTAATGAAAATTAGATTTGAGGGCCTAGAAAATTTACTTTAAAAGAAGTATGCTTGCAATAGATTTTCTTAAATTTTATAGTATGCCTAGAAAACTTTCTGAGCATAAGATATGTGCACTTAAATAAAGATGTGTGACTAGATAACTGAAGGGTTAGTTTCTTATCTCTTGCTAGAATTTTGGTACAGGAGTTTTTGGCACCCATGCAACTCTTGATGTGGAATTTGGAAAGTCATACTTTCCAGTGTAACTGAGATGCTTTTTAAAGAGGTTTGGATTTGATTTTTGTAATTCATTTATGAATAACCTTGAATGAAGCCTTAAAGGAAGTCTGGCTTCACAGTGAAAGAACTAGAATAGCTGGAAACCTGGCATGGCTGTTTGATAGTCCCCGTCGTCTGGTTGTTAGAAGTGCTTTGCTGCTCACAGTCGTGTGTGCAGGAGTGCTCCTACTTCATGTTTACATGAAGAACCTGTTAGAACAGAGAACTAGTCAGGTGTCACAGCCCCTGTGTGGGAGACCAGCCTGCTCAGGTCAGGACCCGTTCCCCTGTGGTGATCCTCACTTCCTTGGGGAGCCAGTCTCCACCTAACGACGGGCTCTAGTTTTCTTTTTAATTGGTGGCTGTATAGATGAGTCTTTCAGCACCAGAATTGAAAACCAGCTCACGCATGGGAACATCTAGTTTTTAGTCATTGTGGAAAATCTTTTGATATTACACTTAAAATTTACATTATGGAAGTAAAAATAGAACTCAAAGATGATTAAGCAAGCTGGGCTCTGTGCTTCTTATCCTGCCTTTCAAAATTAATTCCATGTCTTCAGTGACGGCTTCAAAGGTGACTGGAAATCTTCCCATTTAAGGATGTTTTTCATATTCTAACACTTGAAATAAAAATGAAAGGATTATCACCAATGTTAGATTAATTTCTTCAGCAAACCTTAAGCATACTAGAACTTTAAATCGATGGTAAATAGTATACAGATCTTTTTTCAAATGGCTTTTTAAAGAGGTTTGGATTTGATTTTTGTATTTCATTTATGAATAACTTTGAATGAAGCCTTAAAGGAAAGAAAGGTAATGAAGTTTGAAAATGATTTCTACTTCACAAGCCAGTTTTTTAACTACTTAATGTTTTGACCAAGAAAGTCCATGAATGCACCAATATTTTAATTTTGAGGAAAAAAAATTGTCAAAAGTTTGGGATTAAAAAACAAATTATCTCCAAAGAATTATTGTTGTGTCAAATGTTAAACTCTCTTTAGAAAAGGGCATTATAGTAACCTTAATGTAATTTTTATTTATGTGTGGATACAAGTAGGTAAGACATGGTAATTCTAACTGAGATGAAGTATATCTTTTAAGGAAAGATTTTCACAATGTCAAAGGGTAAGTGAAGTCGTCTTTAAAAATCTTGTAAACATTAAGGGAACATTCATCTGCTAACATTAGTTTAAGAAAGTGTGGGGAGAGAATATGTGCTTTTGAACCTCTTTGTTTTTTGTTTTTTAAGATGAAATTTTTAGGGAGATATTTTGGGTACTAGTTGTAATGTCCAGTGGGACAGAAGCTTTATTAGACTGTCTCCCTGAGTTACTGTCTCATACTGATGCTCTTAAACCTTTTGGGGCAGGGCAATCCAAGATGTCAGGTTCATAAGGCAACTCAACTAGAAACCAAGGAGAGGCAGAACCTGAAATGGGCCAGCTCACATCTTGGTTTGCTTGACTCAAAATATTCTCCATTTTTCATCATTGACTCTGTGAGGGAGAGACAGATGCCCTCTATCACCACCACCACCACCATCATTATTATTATTATTATTGTGCTGGGGATTGAACCTAGGGCCTTGTGTACTCTACCAACTGAGCTGTATCCCCTGTCCCGCCTCCACCACCTTTAATTCTTTTGTGGGCTCTTCAGCTGGGTCTGGAGTTAACACAACAACTAATTAACGAGGGGAAAGCATGGAAGTTTTCCTAATTTTCCCTGAACATGGGAATCTTCACATAAAGGTGAAGTCAAAGAAATGGCCAAAGCATGATGCTTTTTTTCCTTAAAGGAACAATAAGTTTGTGAGAGAATACAAGGTGGATGGCTGCCTGGATCAGGTTAACGAGTCCTAGGGCGTTACTGAGCACTGTACAGGGTGGGAGGAGGCGGAAGCTCCTCGAAGACAAGGGACACTTCAGAGCTTGTTTGTTCAGCTTGCTGCAGCCACAGTTGCCCGATTCCTCGGTGATCACGGCTGTTTTCCAGCCTTGGTATGTGAAGGAAATTCCTTCTCCAAGCATCTCCATGGCTGCCACATGTAGGGGAAAGGTAGGCAGTGACCATTCCTACAGTTAACAGCTCCTCAAGTGATTTCAGCCTGAACACTCTGCAGTGTGGCATATTTTGAGATGGCACCAAGTGGACTATCTGAACAGTAGGTTTGGGGGATCAGCCAGACTAACTCCTAGTAGATGGTCAGTTTTTATCCCCATTTGGAATATAAGGGAATATATTCATTTAGTTTCAAAAGGTTATCTTTGTGATAACTCTATACTTTAAGAAATTTGCCACTGTAATTTTTATTTGCATAAAATACTAACCATTCTCTCCTTCTTAGATCCATGTTCACTAGCGGCCTTACAGAAAGTACCCAGAAAGAAATTCGAATAGTTGGTGTTGAAGCTGAATCAATGGATTTAGTACTGAACTATGCCTACACCTCCAGAGTTGTTCTGACAGAGGCCAATGTTCAAGCCTTGTTCACTGCCGCTAGCATCTTCCAGATCCCATCTATCCAGGACCAGTGTGCTCAGTACATGGTCAGTCATCTGGACCCACAGAATTCCATTGGGGTCTTTATCTTTGCTGATCATTATGGTCATCAGGAACTTGGAGACAGATCGAAAGAATATATTCGTAAAAAGTTTCTGTGTGTCACCAAAGAACAGGAGTTTCTGCAGCTGACAAAAGACCAGCTGATAAGCATTCTAGACAGCGACGACCTAAATGTGGACCGAGAAGAACATGTGTATGAAAGCATTGTGCGGTGGTTTGAACACGAACAGAATGAACGAGAATTGCACCTTCCAGAGATTTTTGCCAAATGCATACGTTTTCCTCTGATGGAAGATGCCTTTATAGAGAAAATTCCACCTCAGTTTGCACAGGCCATAGCCACAGGCTGTGTGGAAAGGGCACCGTCCAACACCAATGGCTGCACTCAAAGGCTGGGGATGACTGCTTCTGAAATGATCATATGTTTCGATGCTGCCCACAAACACTCAATAAAGAAGCAAACAGTGCCTTGTCTGGATATTGCCACAGGAAGGGTGTTTAAGCTATGCAAACCACCGAATGACCTGAGAGAAGTTGGGATTCTGGTATCGCCAGATAATGACATTTACATTGCAGGAGGGTACAGGCCAAGCAGCAGTGAGGTCTCCATTGACCACAAGGCAGAAAACGATTTCTGGATGTATGACCATTCCACCAATAGATGGCTGTCCAAACCATCCTTGCTTCGAGCCAGAATAGGCTGCAGACTGGTGTACTGCTGTGGTAAAATGTATGCAATTGGAGGTCGCGTTTACGAGGGTGACGGGCGTAACTCCCTGAAGTCCGTGGAGTGCTATGACAGCAGAGAGAACTGTTGGAGGACTGTGTGTGCAATGCCTGTCGCCATGGAGTTCCACAGTGCCGTGGAGTATAGAGAGAAGATCTATGTCTTACAGGGTAGGTGACCACGGGCCTTCATGCCCCATGGCAGGGTAGCACGTGCGTGCCCTCCTTGTGCCTGACGGTTCCTGGTGGTCGAGGCTTCTCTGCCTTCCTCATCATAAACCGTTAGAACAGTCTGTTCTGTGGAGAACCTTTAAGGAAAGTAAACTTTTGAACCAAAAAGTTTAAAATGCTTAAAAGTATTTTTCCATTACTACATTGATCCTCCAAGTTTTTTGCCCATTTTATCATATAGAATAAGTACTCTTGAAGTCTTCGGTAATAAACAGTGCAGAGTTTTGGAAGGACTATTTCAGAGTAGTTTTAAGATTTTGAACAATAATGTCAATATGTGGCAATTTTTATTCTTTAATGATATGAATGACCAAGAGATGTAACAACTGCTGTTTTATGGAACTTACTGGATTGGTTTAAAAGAAAAAAGGACAAAGCTTTAACTATAGTTATGTTCTCAGTTACCAGAGGGTTTTGCATACGCCTTATCATTGCCAGAGTTATGAAAATTGATTACAAAGAGGTTGAAATTATAGCTTTCAGGTTTTAATTTCACTGTGTTGCCTTTCATGACAGGTTGTTTTCAGTTTCCTTGCTCTGAAAAATTTTCAGATGTCACCTTTTTCTTACTGTTGCTACTATTGGAGTGACTTGTGTTTAGTTTTGAGGACCCGTGCTAAGTAGAGCAACAGGAAGAGGGAACGGGGTTCTGACTGTGAGAACAAGACTCTCAATTCTTTTTTTTTCTTTTAAAGAGAAAGGATTTTTAAATATTTATTTTTTAGTTTTTGTGGACACAACATCTTTATTTTTATGTGGTGCTGAGGATTGAACCCAGCGCCCAGCGCATGCGAGCGCGCTACCGCTTGAGCCACATCCCCAGCCCAAGACTCTGTTTTTTTTTTCTTACACCTTTCAGTTGCTTGAATGCTGAGTGCAACATAGATACGACCAAAACCTTTCTTCTTCTTCTGTGTTTCTTAATGGGTTATATGTAAATGTTTTCCTCCACTACTGCTTTAATAAAACAGAAAGAGAGGCCACTATCATGAAGATAGACCTGATTTTTAAGCCCTTATCTACCTATTTTTTAAAATCATGGTCTTTGCTCCAACCCTTTACCTAAAACCTCCTGAAAATGCCTGAATACCTCGGCTTCAGGTTAATTTTCCAGAAGGAATAGTGCCTTCTTTTAGTTACACAGAAGCACAGCATGATTTGGGTTGGTTGGTCTTGCCAAAAAAATGGAACCTAAGAATGTAGAATGTATGTGGCCTGGTATGAAGTGTGCCTGTGGCTCACTGGTTCATGGACAGAGGTAGGGTTTATCATAGGACAGCCAGAGGAATGTAAAGGTCATGTGTAAATGCAACTACTGCAGCAAAACAGCAGTGAATTAATGAGACTTCAGAGTGAGCATCATTTAATCCAAGGCTATATTTTATATAAGAAGAATCTGAGTCCATGGGGTTTTTCTTAATTGCTTATTGATTTCACTTTATTAAAGAGGACTTTAGATTTTAAAAAATCAACTTTTTATGTGTGTCATCTTTTCCTTCCTGTAAAAAAAAACTGTAGAGAATTTGCACACATTAAAGTTTTGATTCCTCTTATTGATAGTCGTGAATTAGGCAAGCAATTAAAGCTGGGACCTACGGAAAACGAAGTTCAGATATCATTGCTGAACATCAGATGAGAGTGACTCCAGTTTAAAATAGATTTCAAGGGGAAGCTTAATTTCAAAGCAGGTATTTATAATTTAAACAAAGCTTATTTACATTAAAAAAATGAAATGAATTGTAGTCATAAGGTACAAACAAGTTGAGCATCCAGATATCAACTTGTGTATATGCAGACACCCCCAGATCTGAAACATCTACAAGATTTTGTACAAATGTTAGTAAAATTCTTGTAAGTCTTCACTAATTCTAATAGACGTTTTCGTATTTTCAGTCTCATTTGGCATACTGTTTATTGCCAAATTCACTCAGTCAACTCCATAAACGGTGCATGTGTATCTGTCTTATGAAAGCAAGGTTTTCTCTTGTTGAAATTTATCTCTGCATTATAGGAGCACTCAGGTAAGTACATCAGTGACCCATAAGCACCAGTCTGAACTGGTCTTTTAATTAATTAGAAATAGGTAGCAGTGTGTATGAGTAAGCTGTATGTATATGTTTGGCCTTACTGACTGAGCATTCCTAATAGTGCTGTTTCAGAGCTGGCCTAAAATAAACTTTCACACGTTGGTTGGAACAAATGGAACCAAGCTCTTCACTGTTGTTTGGCCATCAAGCCAGAGAAACGCATTACACCTCCCCAGAAGAAACACCCCAACATAACAGGATCTGTTACATTGTTTATTTTAGAAAATGAAATATCTGGAAAATCATGCTCCTTTATCTCCAGTGGTTGGAACAACAGCCTATGACCAAAAATAAACATAAAAATGTACACATTCTTGTTTTCTCTTTCTAGGAGAATTTTTCCTCTTCTATGAGCCTCAGAAAGACTACTGGGGGTTTCTAACCCCCATGACGGTGCCTCGAATCCAGGGCTTGGCTGCGGTGTACGAGGACTCCATCTACTATGTGGCGGGAACCAGTGGGAATCACCAGCGCATGTTCACCGTGGAGGCCTACAACATTGAGCTGAACAAGTGGACCCGCAAGAAGGACTTCCCGTGCGATCAGTCCATCAACCCGTACCTCAAGCTGGTCCTCTTCCAGAATAAACTTCACCTGTTTGTCCGAGCTACTCAAGTGACTGTGGAGGAGCACGTCTTCAGAACCAGCAGGAAGAACTCCCTGTACCAGTATGATGAGGCGGCCGACCAGTGGGTGAAGGTGTACGAGACTCCGGATCGGCTCTGGGACCTGGGCCGGCACTTTGAGTGTGCTGTTGCCAAACTCTACCCTCAGTGTCTTCAGAAAGTGCTCTAGAGCAGCGGGCCTCGCAGCGTCTCTGGCCTCTGTCCCAAGAAGCGCTGTCTGTCTTTAAGAAAGCCGAGTTCTGTGCACAGAAATAGGTGCTCCTAAGCTCACAACATAGAGGGACTCGCTTTCGCTTTTCTGACGCGTTCATTTCAGTAAGGTAAAGGTGACAAAGTGCAATTATCAGCGTTTTTCCCCCCTGGCATTTAAGTAACCTGTCATCCTAGAGTTTTGAGATAGCCACTAAGGTACTAGAGGAGTCGAGGCAACTATGCACTCCATAAGCGCAGTTAGGGTGTCCCTGGGTGGAGATGCACAGACCAGGTGGACCTGACTCTTTATTTTAAATACGGGTAACAATCTGAGGCAATATCACTAGGAGTTGTTTAGCTGTGACCTCTAACACAGAAGCACTAACTTAGATCCTCATTCTTAATATTTATATGTATTTACATGTATATTTTTGTGTACTGTTTTCAAGTGGACTGAGATTTAAATGCGTTGTCACTAGAGCTGACTGAAGGAGAAACTTAGTCTCAGAGAGAACTTATTGGTTCCACAGTTTCATATTTCCCACATACCTTTAAGTTAAGCTAAAGTTTTAAGTGGCAGTTTTCTGTCAGAAACTTCTTCAAGTGCTAACACTGTCTCATTTTTTTAAATCCTGGAAAGGGCTCAAATTGGCAGGTGGCTGGTGCTAGTATAAATTAATCTGGGTGTGTAGCTAGCTACACAGTGTTTAAATGGTCTGAGCCTGCGCTCTCCTTTGACATGAATACGTGAGTTTCTTGGCCGTAGTACTCTGTCGACCTCTTGTGATTTCACAGGGTTTGCTAACTGTGATAAGGTATGGCCAGGTACTAACTGGATTCAGTGGGAGAACAGTCAGACTGTTGTACCAAGTTTGCACTAACAGGGGCCATTTTATTGCCCTACCTCCTTTTCCAGCCTCTGCCTGTCCAGATTGTCAGTCCAGTGAAAGTTAACTCATAATGTGAAGATTTACATCTACTTCTAAAATTTTGTTTTTTCAGAAACAGAAAATTCCTCCAGTGGTATAATAGTTTAATGACTTTTAAAATTTCATATTACAATTACAACCTCATCTTTTTCCTTTTGCACTTAACAGTAATGAATACTTTACATCGAAATACTCGTTCTAGCTGAAGGTGATCAAGGAAGAGTGAGAGAACAGAACCATGGCTATTGGTACGAGGTCATTTTTCACATTAACTGATGAATTTCTAACAGTGAGTTAGGAAATACTGACATAAGGACAGACTTGTTTGTGTATCTAAGACAAGTATATTTGGACTGGAACGTATTCTTGACTCTGCCTAGAATGTCTGATAAAGGATTTAAGTATAGCCCAGTCTGTCCTCAGTCAGAACAGTTTGATTTTCTTGAAGAAAGCAAACTTGCGTGGTTTGTATTAAACACTCTTGCACAAACTGTAATATGATACTGTGAAAACAATTTAAAACATTGCCTCTTTGCATCACATACCTCGTTTTTCAGAAACTTTCCAAACTGCTTTACAAAGACCTCTATAAGTAGGGACAGTTTTCTGAAGTGGAAGTTCAAGTGGATGGCCTTTGTAGACTTAACATCTTAAAATCTAGTCCTAGAAAGCTAGATATGTGGCTTTTATTTATTGGCTTCGACAGTGCATCTGTGATCTCTTTACAAGCGTTGTCGGCCAGTATCTTACCCCACCCCCAGGTTTCTTGGTCTTTTATTTTATCTTTTGGTTATTTCCAGTTTTGTTTTTTACAGTTTTACATTGCTGAGGACAGGGGGAAATACAACCAGTTCTGCAAGAGATAACCATGTAATTATTTTGCAAGCTTTGTTGAGTATCTAAGATTTTCTTCCGCTTTTTGACAATCTTCTGTATTTAGAAAAATATGTTACTTGAAAACGAGACAGAACGTTGAGTGTTTGTGTGCCGTAGGATCCAGAAGAGAACAAAGCTGTGGTTCATTCTACAGCAGATTTATTTTGTTGATCTCTACAATGGTTGATCCTTTTGCTATAACAGTTTATATCAAGGGTATGATCTAAGTGTAGTGTGTCAGGGCCAAGGCTTGGAATTTGCTGGAGCAGCAGAATACCTATTGGATTTTATATGAAGAACTGTTTATGTTATATAGCGCAGATGTTTTGCCACTGTTTAAAATGGCTTCAGAAGAGGTCCTAGAAAACCTAGTGCTCTGTGTGGGTCAATGTGTAGGCACTTGATGGCACATTTTCATAGTATGATGAGAATATAAGTGAAAGACACAGTGGCTGCCACAGATTAGGGGTAAGTCTGACGTGTCCCACTTTAGCTGTGTTTCTGCATTTGAAGAATGTATGTAGCACTTTCCTATGTATTTTTAACACATAGAAAACTGGACTTGGTGTAACTGTGTCATAGGAAAGTAGAAATTGTATTCTTTATTTTCCATCTTTGTTTTCTGCTATCTTACAAGTTGATGCTTAAGCGTCAGGCAGATTTCACTGGTGCATGAGAAAAGGTGGATGTGATCTGTAAGGAATCGGATTCCCTGTGTGAAGCAGTGTAATATGGCATTTGATGTTCAGTGCTCAGGTATGTAGTAAGTACTGTAGTCCTATGGGGGCAAATGTGTAGATATTTTTAAACATTTTGCCGTAATTGCACAATTTTTTGCATTTTTACCTGATGTCATTGTTTCTTATAATAAAACCTTTTCTGATTAAAACTTCCAGTGTTGTAATCTGACCTCCAATGAGTGAGTTTTGCAGAGTTAAAATTGTTGGAAGTCACGAAATACCTCATGTCATGATAGATTTTAATCTGTTAAAAACCTGGCCTTTGGTAGAGAATGAAATAATCACTATCATTGTGTGTAATGTTCTTTAAGTTCTAAAGAAGCTTGTTTATCTCAGTAACTCCTGTGTTCTGACCTGAACTGTTCCTGTGTTTGACTCATTCTCTTACACACGTCACATGCAATGTGTCAGAAGGTCCTGTGCTGTCCCCTCTCTCCATGTCCACTACCTGCCACTCTCATCCGGTCTAAGCCAGCCTGTCTTGTCTACATAATGCAGTTGCCCCTGAACCTGTCTTCCTCCTGCCATCCCTGACCTCTTATGGAATTTCTCCACACATAGTCTCGTGACCCTGTTAAAACGTAGGTCAGATCATGTCCCTCTTCTGCTCAGACTTCTCTAGTGGCTTCCCATCCCCTTATCTATGAGAGCCAACTCCTTATCTATATGGTCTGCGCCTCAACCCCGTCACCATCCCCAGCTTAACTTGATTCCAGCCACACTGAGGTGCGGCCTTGTTCTTGCTGCATCTCCCTGACAACTCACCTTACTGACTTGTGTGCTAAAATGTCACCTCAGCAGAAGGCCTTCCCTAAACACCTTATTTTCCACCTCCTCCTACCCATCCCACCTTCCTTCCCTGCTCTATTTTTCATGTCTTCCCCCATTAAAATGTCAGCTCCACAAAGGGGAAGAGCATGTTTCATTCTCCATTGCACTTGAGATCATTGCCTGGTGCAGAGTTAGGTGCTCAGTACGTGTTTAAGGGAGAAATGGATTTTCCAAAAGATCTCAGAGCACCCTGAGAGGTGGTAGGACCTGAACTGTCTGTGCTTCTTATCCAGGGAGTGGATGAGGTGGAACCTAGCTTCTCTCTGTTTCCCCCTCTGCACCTCCTTCCTGTCACTGTGTTACTACACTATGCACAGAGGCTAAAGGTCACCTGATGAGGGGTTGCCTGGGCCTGGAGCCAAGTTTTCCATTTCTCCTCTGTTTGCATTTCGTTTGGAACAGAATGTGCATCAGAAGAGACAGTTGTTCCACCCTTTGTTGAATGGTTGCCTCTTTAGAGTTCCATTTTCTCTCAACATTGTTATTTAAAATACCTACTGTGATTCTTATCCTGGGAGTGGATGAGGTGGGAAGTAGCTTCTCTCTGTTACCCCTCTGCACCTCCTTCCTGTCACTGTGTTACTATACTAATAAGCCACTGTTTCTCATTCTGGAAGAGATTATGGAAAAGTGGTGTAATTTTAACCTGAAGTATATGGCAGGATATATGTATAGTGAAGCCATTTGGACTTGATGCTCCATTTTGGAGGGTATTAATTCAGTTCTCAGATAATATAGGGATATCTGGGTTGTATGTGTCTCCTGTGAGTTTCACTTCTGCCTTTCAAGAGAACATGAACAGATGTGTGGGCCTAGAGTTGTTCATTACATCCTTATGTCCATGGAATTGGCAGTGATTACCCCTCTTTCATTTCTGATATGGGTAATTTGTTTATTCTTTTTGTTCGTGTTTCACTTGCTAGAGGCTTGTCAATTGCACTGGTCTTCTTGAAGCACCAAACTCTAGTTTTAATGATTTCTCACTATTGTTTTGTGTTTCAATCGCATTGATTTCTGCTCTTTTAGACCTTTCTTCTTTTTCTAGTGGTATATTTAATGCTGTAAACTTTTGTCTAAGTACTGTTTTTATAGCATCCCACAAATTTTGATATGTTGCATTTTCATTTTTAGTACAGAATATTTTTATCATACCCACTTGGAGAATATGCCCTTACATAATTACATAATACCTCTTTTTGATCCTTGATAATCTTTCTGGTTCTGAGGTCTTGCTGTATAAAATTAGTGCAGCTTCTTGGCTTTCTTTTACTTTACACTAGCTTGACTTCTTTTTCTTTTGACTGCATCTTTATGTGCAAACTGGGTCTCCTGTAGACAGCTCCTGGCTGGGACTTACCCTGTGGACATGGACAGTCTGTTTCTGTGCAGCTTGTTTATAGAGCAGTGGCATTTAAGTTGCTTACTGACATCTTCCATATTCGTGGCTGTTTTCTGTTGGCTGTTCTTAATCTGTTTTTGCCTATTTTCTTGTGTTGACCTTTTTTTATTACTCTATTGTATCTGCTCTTAACACAGGGATCCTACTTTGAGTTCTTTCCTGAGGTTCTTGTTCACCTGACCCAAGGCAGCGGAGTGGGCACTCTGGCCTGTGCCTTGCAGGCTGTTGAGTCCACTCTGCAGGACATGCTGTGGCTGTTCAGCACATCTCTATTAGCTTTACTTGCAGCCGTTCTCCTTTCAGATCGATTCATATCAGAGATGTTTTACCTTTGTGTATTCCTTCCCTGACAGTGTTCATTCCTTTGTGTAGGTCTGTTTCTGGTGTAAATCAATTTCTTTCTGCCCAAACAACTTTCATTTGACACTGTTTGCAAGGCAGGTCTGCAAAGAAGATCTAATTCAGAGTTTGATTGCTTTATTTCTCTTCACTTCTGAAAGATGATTTTGCGGGCTGCAATGAGTAGTGTCCCTGTCTCAGTCCTCAGTAGCCTGTGCCTGAGGCTGCAGCCTTCACAGAAGCTTCTCTGCTGACTCCCCTGCAGGGTCCTCCCTTCCTGGGTGCAGCAGCCCTGCTGTAACCCTTGACCCCTGTTGACTGTTTAATGCTCCTCCCTGCAGGAGGGAAGAGAAGGCTGCAGGGAGAGGGTTGGGAATGTCCAGCTCTGGCCATGCTCTTTCCCTGGAGAGTGAGTGGGCCTTTATTTCTGGGTACTTCATCATCCTGATCCCTCCTCTGCCAGACGCTGGGGGGTCTTCCTCAGATTTTCCACAAGAAGCGCCTATACCCGAGTCCAGGGTGGCGCCTTCAGCCTCCCTTCTCTGAGGGTCTTTCAGCTGGAGCAGAGCTTTCTTCCCATAAGGTTCTGGGGTGACCCCCAATGTCTTCACACCCTCTTGCTGAGTCCCCACAGCAAGCTCCTGCTGTGGACGTGTGGGTTGGACAGATGAAGTATCTGGTTTGTACATAAATGTTTATCACTTCTTTATACATTTAATGTTTCACACAAAAAAAGTTGGAAAGACTGACTTTGTAAGAAGTTCATATGCTGCGCATTTGGGCGTATCTTTTACTCGTCGTTACATGTTCATGGACTTACTTGGCATATAGTTCAGAGAATGTTGACTCTCGAGTACCTTATAACCCAGCACTCCAGGACCAAATTAAAGTGATTTGATATAATTTAATTAAAGTCATCAATCATTTTTAGATATTTTTACCAAACTGTTAAAATTAAATTGAAAACTTCAGTGTAATCATTTTAAATTATGCTTATCATGTTCATATGAAACATTTTCTATTGCCTAGTTTGTTAAAGAAAAAAGATTTGATCCTTTCTGCCTTTCCTCCTCCATAAACATGTGTATAACTCTGATTTGGTGAACAAAACACTGTAATAAATAATAACAAACAAATTGTGTAATATGTTTTTCAGTGTTTTATATAGGACTTATGAGCAAGAAGTTTTGGTGAGTATGGGGAGATTATCGACCTTTGTGAGCTTTAGTTTTCTCATGCATGAAATGGGTAATCCATCTTAGAATTTTTATGAGGATCCAATAGGCATTTAAACACTTATCACAGTGTCTGATAATGAACTCCGTACGTGTTTGCAGTTGTTAGTGTAACTGTACTGTAGCTGTCTTTTAGGCAGACTTAATGCATGACCTTGTAGAACAGCACTCGGTCACAGCTGACACCAGGCACGTACTGGAGGAAGGAACAGCATGGACTCTGGGCTATAAGCCACACGTGAAAGCGATTTCACAGTCTTGCACACACAGGGTTCACACAGTTCTCACTTTCATTTCTGTCCTGTGCATTTAAAGCATTGAAATTAAATGGTATTTGAAGTACCTTATACAAGGTTTGTGACCTAGTTGTAAACTAAGATCTGTCTGTCCGTAAACAGTGACAATGGCCTGTCCTCAGAGTTTGCTGTCCTTTGTTCTTGTCTAGAGATAAGGATTGTCCATCTTTGGGTCACTAACAGATTGCCTTAGACGGGGTGGTGTACACCACAAACATGAATTCCTCATGGTCCTAGAGGCTGTGGCAGGTCTTGTGGTGAGAGGGCCCTCTTCCTGGTTGGGTCCTTTAGGGAGCAGAGACAGAGGGCAAGACTCTACCTGTGGGGTTTTTGTTGTATTGTTTTCATTTGTTCATTTTGTGGTGCTGGTGATCAAACTCAGGGCCTCACACAGCTAGGCAAGTGTTTTACCCCTGGTCCTGGGGATTGAACCCAGGGGTGCATTACCACTGAGCAACATCTCCAGTCTTTTTTTTAAGACGGTGTCACTAAATGGCCCAGGCAATCCTGCCTCAGCCTCTATTGTCGCGGGGATTATAGGTGTGCACCAGTGTTTTTGGCTACAGTGTTTGTGTGTGTGGTAGTGGAGGTGTTGAATCTAGGGCCTTGAGTATGCTAAGCAAGAGCTCTGCCTCTGCCTCTGAGCTACATCCCTAGCCCATCTGGTAACTTTTTATGAGGGTGTTAATTCCATTCTTGAGGCTCTGTCCTCCTGAAGACCCGCCTTCTAAAACCATCATGGGGGTAGGATTCCAACATGTGCATTTGGATGGGTGAGGGGGAGACATTTAGTCCACAGCAGTATCTAATAGGGTTCAGGTCTCATCGTTTATAGTTCCTTTGCAAAGGTCCTTTAAGGATAAAACAAGTCAGAATGCTCTGCGTATGGTAGGTAGCTAGAGCGAAGTCTACAGGCACACGTGCCAAGAGCGGCTGCAACCTGAGACCCTATGGCGGTTGGAACCCTCGTGCCAGAAGGTCCAAATCTAACAGGTAGGTCATGGTCAGTCATGGATTCTGGGAGTCTAGCACCCAGAAAGCAGTTTTAGCTACTTTGAGTAAATGAATTAGCTCACAGGTCAAGTGTACCTAAGAGCAAGATCTAAGAAATTCAGGTGAAGGGTCAGTAAAGAGGCAATGGGGAAGTTACCAGAGAAGAAAGGGACCGCAAGCGGTCACATCAAGGCAGCGAGTTTCAAAATGGACCCAAGAAGAATCACTGCAGAACACAAGTCTTCTGGAACTGGCTGTTTAAAGACCAGAAACGAGGAAGTGGTTTGACAAAGTGCAGGTGCAAGGAGCAGAAAAGAAGAGCTGGGGCTGTGGGGAGGCCAGAGGGCAGGGGCTCTGCACAGCCTCAGGGGAGACTGGGCTAGAAAACCAGAGCAGGATGCAGAATGAGTCACCTGTCTCCTCTGGACTGCTCCCTGGTTAGGGTTCTCCATGCCCCTGCTCCACGGAGTGCAACCACAGAGGGGCTCACACCGAAGCCTTCAAGCCAGGCAGGACTGATGAGGGCAGCTCCGGCCTGGGGAGGAGGCGCCTCTGGGGCCAGAGGCCGCACGTTTCTCTAAGACAATGCTAACGGTGACGGTTTTGCAGTTTTTGTGCTAACTTGCCCCAGAGCCAAATCTGTTTCCCTCTCCTGATCCCAAACATCTGCTTGTGATAAGTCCTGCCACACATGTGTTTAATACGGCATGCAGTGGGTGTGGTGATGACACGGCACTGGCCCAAGAAGGGGTGAGCTAATCAGAGCATGTGGTCACGGAGGTGAGAGGACAGGAGGTTCTCATGTTGTGTTTGTGCAGCCCGAGAGGCCAGGGAGATGGTACCTGTCACCCAGGGGCCGAGCCCCAGGAGTGGGAGTCTCGTGAATCTCAACCCCACGTTGCACAGCATGTGTGCCAGAATAACGGTGGCCAACAGTTTATGAAATGACTTTAGAGAAGCTTATTTTTGTTTCACAGGGAACAAAAAATGGGCTTTGTATATTTGTAGGTAAATATGGCACGTAGCAAAATCTGCTTGGGTTTGAGGATGGCATCCCTGAAGGCTTCTAAGAGATGGTCACAACTCTTTCTTAAAATTCATTTCACGATTTCAGAAACT